TGCCCAGACATAAGACTCTTGTTGTTCACTTGTGTTTTTAAAATGACTTTGATTCTAAGACCAACATTCTGTAACCAGAAGACACAATGCCTGACAAGTTGCATCCACTTACCAATGGTTTGATGATCATGTTGATGTCAAAAAATACCCACTGTGATGTTCTGAAGATCATATGAGTGTTTTTTCCTTCCCTCTTTTTAGTGCTCGAAATGGACAGCAGCACTCCAAACAATGGTTGTTCTGGTTTTTTTGGGCTCTTTGGCCGTGTTCTGAAGGTTGTTCTTCCTAACGTTTCGCCAGTCTCTGTGGCCGGCATCTTCAGAGGACGTGCTGTGGTCCTATGCCAGAGCACAGGTTGCTGTCCTCTGAAGATGCTGGCCACAGAAACTGGCGAAACGTTAGGAAGAACAACCTTCAGAACATGGCCAAAGAGCCCGAAAAACCCAGAACAACCATTAGATCCCTGCCGTGAAAGCCTTCTCGAATATACTCCAAACAATGTTTTGCTGAACTTCTTTTATTTGCTTGTGTCAAGCTATGGCCTTCATGTTCTCTGATTTACAGTATTTCGTGCCACTGTGTAGGCTGCTGAATGCTGTAAAACATGACATTTAAGTTAAAAAAGCACACATCTAAGTGAAATCTACAAGCATATTGCACTGTGATTACTAGAATGTGGTGCTAGTGCAGTGTAATGGTTAGAGTGTCAGTCTACACTTTGTGAGATGAAGGTTCAAGTTCTCACTGACGCAAATAAACCCATTGGGGGGATCTTTACTTAGTTACTTTTCTCTCTCCCCTTCCCAGTCATACTACTTCACAGCCTTGTTAGGAGGATCAAGCGGGGCTCCATCTGCAACTAGCACCTCAGAATCAGCCAACTGAGCTAGCTGCTTCACTCTTTATCCAACAAGGCCAGTTCTGGCTCCATTAGCAAAGACGAGGAAAGCTAGCTCCTCATATTAACCATGCCCAAAGGTTGTTAAAGTGATGAAGGAAGACAGGGAAATAATTGAGAGTTTTAGTGTGAAAAATGTAGTCCAGAAACCAGTTATAACTCCTGAGAAAAAACAGGCGAGAACTGTTTAGTTGTTTTTGTTTGTTTGTTTTTAAAATCAAATGGGAAGTTTTCCTAAGAGCTCTTGATAGAGTCTGTCTCATTCTTAGACATCCTTCAGTCTCGAGAGACTATGGTAACGTGCTCTGTATGGAGGATTTGCAACACCATCTAGTGTGGCTGAGAAGGCCAATTCAAGAGTGATAATCCCTTCCACAATGAGGACAAATACAATCTGTCCCCTGTCCAGCTCCCTGATTTTGCTGCTTCCGGGACTGCCTCTTTGCCTCGGCCTGCTGGGCAAGTGTCTCTTCAAATTGGGAGAGGCCATGATGTACTGGCTGCCTTCAGGCTGAACGCTCCGATGTCAGGGTTTCCCATCTGTTGAGATCCATTCCTAAGGCCTTCAGATCCCGCTTGCAGATATCCTTGTATTGTAGCTGTGGTCTCCCTCTGGGACGATTTCCCTGCACTAATTTTACTAACAAATCAGATATCCTGCTAGGCATGATGAAAATTTTGAAATGCAATTTCTGAGCCTGTTCATAAATATAATGTCCCCAAGAGTCACAGGAACTGCAGTTTCTGAAGATTATAGCACCCTTGATTCTGGCAACAAATGATATTTCTTTATATGTTTAGAAACATGTTTAGAATAATAATTTCGTGCCCAGCATTCAAGTATGCAAGATGGAGGCCTGTTTCCTAGTTCCTGCTCCTAATTTTTTTCCTAGCTAATATAGAATGGGTTTGCCTCCTTCGCTATATATATATGGATACATATCATTTTGAAAGTTATTTAATTACTGTCCTGAACATTAGAGAATAATCCTATGCCATTCAAGACACATTGGCAATCTAGGACTTGATGGAAAACTCCCCCCCCCCACTTGTATTTGTTTAAAGGAAACACCGGACATTTTCTGGTATGAAATCAAACCCATTTGGAGACTTGTTTCAATTCTGCCACTGCCTTGGAAGACTCTTTAACATGCAGCAGAAAAATGCTATTTAATTTCACACTCAGCTAATCCTTTAATTATTTTCTTTCACAGTGAACAGAAAAGTCTATTAGTTCCATAATAAAATAAAATAAAAAAGTTAGAGAGGCTGTTAGTTTGAACCTTGGACTATTTCCATTAAAAAAAAAAACCTATCCTGGAACATAACCAGGTATATTAGCATTGATGGTTAGTGATAAATTACTTGTGGGTGATATTGTCCCACTTGTGCATCATATTGCTGCGGAAATGAATCAGCTATATTTTTAAAAATCACTTTCGCATTCAGCAGAATCTGTTTGTCAGACCCTGGTACCCAAAGTATTCTCAAACAGGGATGTTATGCAGACTTACTTTAATCAAGAACTATATCAAATAAATGACTTTTATATTGCCAACTGTTCCTTTCCAAGTGGTGGTTTTCCTCTGCCTGGATATGAATATCATACCACGGAAATTAATCATTCACTTCTGAAAGGTCAGAGGATTGAAATGTAACTCTTGCGAACCAAATCCTGTTACAGTGCTCCACCTGTGCAACTAGAATAATGTCATAGTAAAGATGTTTTTGACCTTGGTCTCCAACAGCAGAGCCTTGTATTTCAGAGTCTTTATAGGTATAATACCTTCAGCTTTTATACAAGAATAACGTGCACCCAACATTAAAAAGGGAAGCCTTTTGACATCATTCCAGTTGCACAGGTGGAACTATGCAACAGGATATGGGGCCATAAAGTTACATTTGCCACTGATTATGATGTCATTCCCATTCTGCAGCCAGAACCTAGCCAACAGGGCTTTGGCCTATGCTCCCGATGTTGCATTTATATTATATTAAAAGGCAGTATTGCTAACACCCTCCTGAGTGGATTAGAAGTGCGTCTTCTGAGGACAGAGGTGGGAATAAGCTCCATGGGATGTTCATAGATTACAACTCATATCAATTCCAACCAGAACTTGGAAATTAAATCGATATTATCATAACTACAATGGAAAGAGGGATGATTTTATTGTTTAGGATGGTGTAATTGTAAGATTTAGTTAATCTTGTGGTTAATGGGTATGAACAGGCTCACTAAAAGGTGGAGGAGGACATAGTTTAATTACTGGGTCCTCCTATATTTCATATTCCTGAATCAGGCTGTATCATGAGTATTCAGGTGACATGAGCAGAGGATATTTTAATTCAACACCAGTGCCTAGCAGCATTCAGATGTTTTAAAGCTTACTTATTATCATTTTATTTCTTCCTTTTATTTTTATCTTGCCTTTTCTCTTTTAAACTGTGGCTATAGAGGGGCACAAACTGCTGGTTCAGTAAATTCTACCTGTTTGTTTACCACTGCAACAGGTTTGGCTGTTCGGAACCCTGTCCCTCTGGAGGGATGCCCACGCAGAAGCAGCACTACTTTCCAAGTGACAGGAGCAGGGCACTGAACTGCTGAACTCCTGTTGCAGTAGTCAACAAATGTGTGGCCCTGAATCACTCCCCATCTAAAGTACAATAACATAGTGTGCATGAAGCAGGAAATGAGTTTGGAAGGACATTTTTGATATAACAGCCAGAGTCTTGTTGGGTTTTTTTTTTACATGCACGTAAGTGAAAACATAGAAGTCATTGTAGCAAATTAAGAATGTGCCAATTATGTGCCTGGTTTCATGACCAGCAGATGATGATATTGAAATGAGTAACTGACACTTCATCAATTAATTTCAGTTACCCACCATGACGCCTGTGAATAAATTAAAAAGCCAACAGGATTCTATTCAACATTTAGCAGTACAAAAGTATGTACACACAAATTCCACGTTACCTTCTACAGTGGGGTCTTGACTTGAGAACTTAATCCGTATTGGAAGGCGGTTCTCAAGTCAAAAAGTCTGTAAGTCAAGTCTCCATTGACCTACAGTGCATTGAAAACCGATTAATCCCGTAACAGGCCATTTTTGTTCCATTTTGTTTTTTTTCTGGTCTGTAAGTCAAATCTCAGTCTGCAAGTCAAACCTAAATTTTGCGGCCAGAGAAGTCTGTAACTCAAAAAGTCTGTAAGTCAAGCCGTCTGTAAGTCAAGGGTCCACTGTACATATGAAACGCTTGAGAACACATGTAGACTGTTGTTCACGTTCAATATACATGGGGGCCTTTTGAGATCAGAAAGCCCTTGAAGCTGCTGCAGGGTGTGTGGATACTTGTGTGCTTTTCATACATTGACTATAGTTTAGCTGTGAGTAACCCAAAAAAGACTAATATGGTACCATGAATTTAAGACCATCTGCTCCAAGATTTATAAGTTTCAGTGGTCTAAACAGTGTAATCATGAAGGGGTCTACAACCTTTTATCATTGTCAATTTTATGTGTAATACACTGAACATTTATAAATGAAATCAGGATCCTTTTTACTCTCTTCTTTCCCCTCTTTTTACATTAACCTCACAATGTTACCTCATCCATACCTGTTCTATTGCATTTTTGTGCAGAATAAATGTCAAAAAGGCAAAGTTAGTTTGCCTTGAATTCCATGGAAAGCATCTCATTGGACTGAAAAACTGCACGCCAGACATTTGCCCTTGGCACATTTTTAAGCTATTTAAAAAAAGAACAACCCCTGGAAATAGGAGTTTATAATGGAAATACCAACTGGGCTTTAGCAATAGCAGCAGCAATAAATATGAAGGAAGGTCCCAGCAGGCATCTAAAAAAATACAAAAGGAAAACATCCTGCAGGCCAGCAAAAACAACATTGCTTTAATGTACTTGACCTGTGGTCATACAGTAGTATTGTAACCCTTGTGAGCCAATTTTTCTTTTAACCATGGAAGCCCCTTGCTTTCCTTTCAATGGATTTCTAACCTTTTATTTGCTGAAAGGCAACCTTTATCACAAGCATCTTTGGGGCGGCTTCATGCTATGTCCTATGCTTTACTGAATATCCGACCACCATTTTTTTTTTACCAGTAGTTTTATTGACGGATTTGGCTTTGAATGTTGTATATTTGCACCACAACTGAAATTAGATGAGGGTTACTTGCAGAGTAGTAACATTATCATGACTGAAGTCTTACTTTCCCCTCTAACAGTCTGAAGCAAATCTGTGTATTGGTTGCTCATTAACAAGTTTCTGCTACAATGTCAAGGAAAGGGAGGGGGAAAGTCCATTAAATATGAAGTTTGAACAGTTTTCTTCTACAAGGATGATTTACACAACACATGTAATGATATAGCTTTTCCCTACCTAGTAGCTCTATCGAATGAAAAAAAAATCCTCCTCAGGAATCTCTTCAAAGTACTGTATAACGTGTTGTTTCTTTATCAATAGGGAAAGACAATATCTGGCTACGATCCAATGAATATTTACTTGCGAGAAAAGTGTAAACACGCATAGGATCCAGCCATCCACAACCAAAGCTACCACCATAGTATATTCTCTGTTTAAGCACTTAAAAAAAGTATCTGGAATTGCCTGCAGTATTATTCACATTCATAGTGAAAGACTTACACTGTATTAATGCTGTATATTTTTTTGTGAAAAAGAAAAACTTAAATAAGATCATTTTGGGTATAGAAAGACTCAAACACCATAACTGAAGTTATTTCGAACCTGAAAATTTCCAGGATTGTTTTGAAAGGGAAAAAAGAGAGGGGAGAATTAGAGAAGAGTACATAGCACACACTGACTAAAATAGCAAAGCAGTTTATACCCAATGTGATCAGCATGCCTTGTGCTTTTGTGTTAACCCTCTGAGTACAAGTAATCAAAACAGTTTTTGAAGGTAAGTGCTCAGAAATTTATGTTTTGTAAATGGTTTTGCTAATATACATCCGTAACATGAAATCTTATTTATTTCCTACTATTCTGAATGAATCAGAATGAAATAGGCATGCACTGCCCTCAACATACAGTATCATTTATTTACTTTAGATGATCTGATATAACATGAAGTGCAGCAGGGGGTCCAAAAAGTGACACACATTCATTTCAACATGTTTGATATTTTATTTAGCACCAGTATGACCTGCTACTCAGTGCTGCTTCAGACATGCATACACATTACTTGATCACTCAACACTCAAATAATAGCTCATGTAAAATGGCCTCTGTTGAAATGTATTGGGTAGGCTTAATCAGCTTAAGTCTCAGAGATTTCAGTGGGTCTACTCCAGGGAAGACTACGTCTGGATCCAATTCATTGACTGCATTTAGATGCCAATTCAAATTTGAAAAGAATTCTGGCTTATTGAGAATGTGCATGAGTGCTGGTATTCACTGTATTCCAAGCTGCAATGCCTATAGTCCATGGTTTGTTTATGGTGACATCTTAATCTAGCAGTCTGTCTTGTTTTCCCCTCAACAGGCTGATTCACATCCCAAAAACAAGCCATGGCTTGAGACTCTGATTGTCAGAAGAGAGATAAGCTAGAGTGTCACATTTGGGCATAATAATAAATAAATTATGAACTCTTCTTCACTCTAATTGGACTAATCAAGAAGTGCACGAGCACTAGCATGCTGCCATGTTCCCTTCAAGCCAGAATTTTAAAAAGTAGCTGTAAAACCATTCATCACTGTTGATTTTTGCCACACTATAACAAACAACCAGTTAAAATTTCATTCTCTCAATAATAATGACAAAACCAAACCTGTAGTAAAGCAAACTTTTTGACTCTTAACATGAATTTCATAGTGTAGGCAATCACCTTCATTCACTAGTAAGTTTTGTCATAAATATTCTTAAAATGTTCTGAGAACAATCTAAAGAATTCTGGCTTCTAAAGAATTGTGGCATCTGAATATTTTTTGTTATAAGAAGCTTATATTTCCGAAATGTGGTGTATGGTGACTGCTCCATATATGGCAAGTTATCACTTGAACTTTCAGTCATGAAACTGTGAACATGTACAGAAGAACAGGAGTAAGGAAAGTAAATCCCAAGAGACTTAACTGCTGTTGATTAACTAAGAAAATGTGTAATTTTCACACTGTTCCTTGTTGGCAAATAAAGAATCCATGCTTTCTTATGCTAAGCAACAGGATTTCAGCCACTGTTTATAATTCAGTAACTCTGGTCAATTGATCGGTGTTGAATTTTGACATATATTATTTTTTTAAAAAAATCAGTTAAAATTCTGTAGCAAAACTCAACCACATGTTTGACTGATTTCCAGTATGAATCTCATAGTGCAGGCAACCACTTTCATTTACAATCATTTTTGATTATGAACATTACAGTAGCTTGCTTTAAGAACATTAGAACCACACTAGAGTAACTTCTAGAAGATTTTGTAGAATTAATGCAAATAAAATAGAAATGAATTAGCAAACTGTAGTTGGTAGCAAATACATGGTGGATGGGAGGGATTTTTCTGTAATTGGTGTAATAGCACAAGGAGGAAACAGATGCAGACATTTTTTAAAATGCTAAGTCTTGGATTCATCTCCACCCCCAAACCCTAATATTAAAAAATGGAGGTGATGGGAGTTTCTGCATGGATTTCACACAATGCAGCACAACTATGATATAAAGCATTTTTAGAGTGGGTTTCTGCCAGCTCACTTCCTCTAATCAAGACAAATGAAGCTCTTTTCTTTCAAAGTGCCATGTTCCCTTTCAGAAAAGTCAAGGAAGGCATGTTATTAATGGGCACTTTACATCACAGGACTGCATTTAGTACAGCAGAAGAATATTATGTGACTTGTCATAACAACACTCACACAATTCTGTGGGCTCCAGATACCCTTTGGCCATAAATCAACCTTTTCCTCCCAGTGTGTACAAAGTCTAATTTGTTGCATGGGGAAGACATACAAGTTATAACTGATTTCCTAAATCTTATGATTATTCAACAAGACTAGCAAACATGGATAAAAACATTGATGAGACAATCCCTTTGCCTCATTACTTGGGTAAGTCAACTAATTCAAAAGGATGTCGTTTATTAATTTGCCATCATTTTAAAAAGTGTGCATTTTAAAAAAAGAAATGCAAGTTTATTTCTAAGATGCTGAAGGATGTGTGAGGTAATTTACAATTTAATAAAATTAGAAGAGAAGCACATCTCTGAATAGCACTATAAGTTCCTGTTATAGTGATACACAGAAATCAAAATGTTTCCAAAATTAAACAAGTCTACATAACATTTACAGTCCCATCAATACAAATTTGCCTTCACCATTTGAGATGCCCTCATTCATAAACCTAATAACATAGTTGACTGAGTTAGTAATTAAAACTTGTCCCTAAAGAATATATTCTAAATTATATACTCATTTGTGTAAAAAAATGGCTGGAATCCTATTAGGGAAATTCTTAAGGGTTGAGTAACATGCTGTGGCTAATTGAAACTAGTTGCTGGGGTCCTGGACACGTCTCTGTTGAACAATCTGGTTCATCACTAGGCATATGTCCAAGACACATCATGGCATCTTGGCAATTAGTTGCATTAATTCACACAAGCATGTGAATGCCAGCAGGATTCTGGACACTATGTGTGGCCCACTGTGTTCTTGAAGAAAAACTAATGAAGAATTGCAAATATTGTAAGGGTACTGTTTTGTGGCCAGAATCCTACTGATATCTGCATAACTTCCTGCAGCTAATTGTAGCTGACAAGGTGCTGGGGCATGTCTCAGTCATGTGCCTCATCACCTGCCTGACTACACAAAAAATTTGGTTCATCATCTCAACAGATAGTCACAATCAGCCACAGCAAGTTAATGAAACCTGATGTGAACACCAGTAGGATTTTGGCCTTTTAGTGGCAAAGATTCTCATAACTTCCAAGGTTCTTTTGTGCTTGCACTATCATTTAGGGTTTTTGAGCTGTCTGCATTTTAATTCCAAGCACCCTAAGACAGAGTCTAACACAAAAATAGTTTGATGTTTCATACTTGACAGTATATGTGAAAAACTTATTATTTCCCTTTCTCATCTTCCTTACAGTGGTTCCCTGCTGAGTACCTATTTGGGGCAAATTGATGGCAACTGTGGAATCAACATGTGATTCAACAGTACATAACTTTCCCGTGCCTAAAAGAATTAGAATACTAAGACCATTACGTTTAAGGAAGAAACTGAGCACTACCAGTGATACCGTAATCTAAGAAAGATCTTTCTTCCCTTTCATTCTCACCTGTCTAGAATGAAATGCTTTTCACTTGTTTGAAGAAAAATGTATGCTGATGTCTCAAAGCAAAGAACTGAGAGAGAAAAAATAGGACAGAAGCAGAATATGGACCTTCCTCTCTTAAGGATGACTATATTTAAAACCAGCCTCCTTTAAGCAGGGGAAGAATAGAAATAGCCAAATAAAACTGACAAAAGTGCACGTCATTCTGGAATTTCGAATTATTTTATTGGATCAACGGTTTGTCAGTGCACGAGACAGAAGTTTCACCTTTTGAGAGCCCTTAGTGTTTCAGTTCTCAAATGTTCTTGAAAGTTCTTATTGCATCCTATATTTGAGGGCTGTTCTGTTGGGTTTTTTTCCCCTCAGTTTATTTGTTTGTTAAATCAGTATTATATGGAAAGATTTCAAATGCTAAATTCCTTAAAGGAACCAGCAAGTACCACACATTGTTGATGCCAGATGCCTTCCATGGATGCATCTGCATGTTTCTGTGTATGAGGTTTGTGGGTGCATGTATGAGGTCCACAGATATGCAAAAAAGATACCCTTATGACATGATAGAAAGATGCATTTTTAAACTTCTACCGTTCCTTCTACACATACGCTAGCCTTGTTGAAGTCTAACAAACCTTTATAGGCAGGTTATATGAGGCCCATTGCAAGCCAGGATCTGCTGAAATAGATCATAGGAGTTGCTGCAGTGGTCTCAGATCTAGTTTAGGTAACCATCTGCATTAAGTCCTGCTATGCTACTTGTTCCATTAACCATGGTGTTCAAAAGGAAAAACAGGCTTTTTCAGATAGCAGGGTCTCTCTGGTTTCCTTTAATGATTATAAAACCTGTGGCCACTAATACAAAGCGGTACTTATAATTTTCTCCAGCAAGACTTGGAATTTAAAAAGCAAGTATCTTGAACTATCTTCCTCCTCTATGGCCAAAGATGGTAAATTGGATCAGAAGCCCGTCCATCAACATTCCATGGAAAGTCCTACTTAGTGAAGCATACCTGAAGTGAACAGGAATCAATATGGTGAAAATGCCAATCAAATAGGAATTAAAATATTTTGCCTAGCTGGCAACTGTCTGAATGGGCAATCGTGGCTTCATAATTTGTTTGCATTTTTGATCATGTGAAAACATTAATAAGTCATGGGAGGAAAGAGTGATTTTTACTGATATTGCTAAAACTATCAACATGATAAACTAGGAGACAAAGAGCTGGATGTAGGAAAAGTTATTTTTTGAATTACAAATCCAAGAATCCCTCAGACAGTATAGACAATTCTGGGAGTCCTAATTCAAAATTTGATTCTGGGAGTTGTAGTCCAAACATGTAACCTTTGCAAGCTTTGTGAAAAGCTGTTTCATACATAGTCCAGATTAAAGATGGGGATTTACCGCACTTTGGCATGGTTCAGCAGATTGGGCCCATAGGTGTTTGGGGGCCCCAGATTCTGTGCACCACCACCTCCCTCAGCCACCCACTCAGAGGAGGCGGTGTGGCAGAGAAGCCCACGACACTGCCTGCAAAAGGCAGGGAGTGGAATCCAGGGTGCCCACATAACACCTATGGGCCTGCTCTGCTGAACTGTGCCACAGTGCCGAAACACGCTAAGTGCCTGCCTCTAGTCCAGATGCATAGGTTACCAATACAATGAAAGCTTTAGGCTCATGCACCTTCTCCACCTACTAATATATATGATATGATTACTAGGCTTGCATATACGCATATGAATGTGCCTGCTTTTGCTACCCAACCATCTTTTCCTTGCAGTAGGTGACTTGGATTGCTCCCGATTCCCCAAAGCACAGATTCTCATTTAAGGTCAGCAGTGTGCACAAACTCTCTTAAGCCTCAGTGTTATACCAGGCTATAAATGGATAAAGTATAGGTTTAGGCCCCATACAACTCACCTTCAGAATGAATGTCTATGATGAAAATGACAATCTACTTGGCAGAGATGGTTCCAGCAGGTTTGATCTCAATCATATGACAGTGCACTAAATGTATACAGGCCAATGGTTTGCATTCTATAGACCAAAATCCTCTCCACTGTTGCAGCTGTTTGAATCCCATCAACCTCAGCTGAACATGAATAGTTTAAATGCCAACGATATCACAACCTTTATGATTCCTCCCACTCCGTTTCTCAAATCTCAGATCAAAATATCTAAAAATTCAATGTGACATTTTGTTTCAATATCCCAGATGCTGAAGACAAATACAATCTGTATCCTTCAATATCATAAAGTATGAATAAGTGATTTTCTAGATGTTGTTAAACTGCGACTCCCACCATCCCTCTCAGTTGGCCAGGGCTCATGCATTTCAACAATGTTTGTCCTATACCCTTGTCGACCTCACCCTGTCCATCTCTGCCCTGAAATCTTCTCTCACAAATATACTTAAGAATCAACTTCTCTCACAAATATACTTAAGAATCATGTTTTAAAATAAGATGAAATAAAGTAAATGTGAGTTAATGTGCAAATGGACAAATTCCTTTTTTACAAGCATTTTTATATTTTAGAACCAAAACTATATAAAAAAGTTTAAATGCTTGATGTAATTAAACTGTGTCTTCAAAAGACTGATAGAACATTTACTTCTGATTTTTTCCTTCTATTTGCTAGGTTCCATACACATACTCTTACACTAAAATCTGGCAAATGTCAGACAAGCACTCTAGGTCAGCGTTTCCCAACATGGTGTCCTTCAGATATATTGTAGTACAATTCCTAGTATTCCCAGCCAGTAGAAGAACGCAAGCCCACTAGATTGGGAAAAGCTGCATCCAGTGTTAATCCTATTCAAAGTAGACTCAATGGGCAGAATCCTGTTGGGAAACAGAACAGAACAACTCTAAGGTGGAACACCTTAACTTTAGTTTGCAATTATGCAAACCAAAGATCTTGGACAGCAATGGGGCTTCTCTGTGTGAAAGGGAGTAGTGAAGATGCCCTGGCTAACACCATTTTAAAACAAACAAACAAACAACCACACAGAATAGGCCATTGCATGCATTGTGAAACAGAACAGGATTTTGGCCATTGAAATGCATGTGGCTTGCTAATTACAAATAATAAAAAAAGTCCCACTGATGTCAACTGTTCTGTTTTTTGTAAGCCTCACAATGGGTTTAAAGCCTGATATTTTTTAAAAAAAAATGTTAAGAAAGGTTATATTAAGATTTGAAATTTCAAGCATCTTGCGTAATATACAATGTCTACTTCGTTACAGTATTCCCAATATTATGAAGATAATCCGTCGCAACAGGGGTAGCATGAAAATAATAGAGGAAGAATATATTGTATGTAATAATGGAGAGAGGATCCATGATATATAAAAACTGATTGTGTTTATTGCTGCCTTCCAAATGTGACCTCTGCATGTACCCTCTGGGCATATAAATGGATAAAATATGAAGAAAGTAAGATTCTACATGTTCTCAATATTCAGGATGTTAAGAAACAGCTTTATAACCAGCAAGCAGGGAACTGCAGACATCTGTTTTGTGATGACCACTACAAGACTTTATAGAGTAATATTAGGCAGTTCTACTGCCAGTGAGTGGATGGGTAGAATCAAGTACTGTACAGTGATGTAACCACTGTAGAATATAGCATGGTAATAGCTAGATTTTCTAGACACCATTGCGTAAGATTAGAAAGCAAATTTTTCAGAAATACTTAGCAATGGGATTCCCTAGTATCCTGACCTGTACAAAAAATTTAGGTCCTCATTATAAAACAAAGTTGTGGGTGTATGGTTTTTTTAAGTGCTAATGACTACTGAGTGACTTTTATGCAATAAGTGCATAAAAAGAGATTCTACAGAAATCATTCTCCATCTACTGCAATTATGTAGAATATTGGTAAGACAACTGAGTAAAGAGCTGTAGGACAATGTGTTGATATTAAAACCCTGTTTTGGGCAAATTTAAATGCAATTTAAGATTATGCACTCAGAGGGTTAACATAGGCTCAAGCCACATATAGTAGCTTCTAGCTCAACTGATGAAAACATTCATTGCTTCTATCCCCTTTTGAAAATTATATATATATATTTATATATACTTCTAAAAAAGCAAAATAGTCTTAACCCTTTGAGGATCATATTAGCAGCAAGTCACAATCGAGACGGAAAACAGAGAGAATTTCAGTCATTTAGCAAATCATTATTACAAAGATACCATAAACACCCCCTTTTTTGTTTCCCTCATCAAGCAATTGATAAGAGAACAAAATGAAATGAAAGTTACACACAAGTTTGGAGGATTTTTCCATGTTTGTTTTCAGAATTTCAAAGGGTTAAGCCAAGACCTTCAGCAGAACTGGTTTATTAAAAGGGTGAATTAGGTGAGCGAACAGTCTCAGATGAACTTGGTGAATAGTCTTCTGATTCAGAATTGAGTTCAGGAGGTGCTTGCTGTGACTTGTAATGGCCCCTCACATCCGGGTTGCGTCTTCGTCGGAAAACCTGCCTCTCCTTATCAAGAGCGGTGGTCTGACAGGGGCATAAAATGAGAATAAATGAAATTAGGCCATGTATGAAATGGAAGTTTCATATTCTCCCTATTCATCCCTCTTCCTCAAACACTGAGGTGAAAAATTGTTCCCTCCTTTACACCAAAAAACCCCAAACTACATAGAGGCAGCATAACATCGTCAAGCATATACAGTAATATATGTACCAAGGTGGACACCATGTGTTAAACTTCTGGAAGCTCTTAATTTCTTAGAGTACAGTTTTCAGGCAAAATTCAGACAGAACCTGCCATCTCCTTCCCAAAACAGGCCTCTATCCTGTCAGGAATACTAACGATTCAGCATAATTTGACTGAATGAGTGTAATAAATATTTACTAGGATTTAGAACAGTGAAGATTCTCAAAAAACATCTAACCACAATCAAAATGTTGGATCATTATAAGGCTATCAGAGAAGAAAATCGTGCCTCATACCACACATTCATGATCTTCAACAAGAAAAGAGAGAAATTTCTAGGAAGTTGCTGAAACATATGTCTATAGTAATCTATATCTGTATTTCCCCAAATGTCAATTTATTTCCACATACTAGAAATACATCTGTTTCAGTACTCATTGTCTTCATCTTGAATAAATAAAATGTAAAAGGAGAAGTCATGGGTTTCAGTCTATAGACGTGCGACATATGGCTAAAGAAGAACAAACACAGGGAAACCTATCTTGAAGGAAAACCCATCTTACAGACTTGTTTGATCCCTTGCCAAAGAGGGAAACAATATTCCAGTCAAGATGCCACTCAGCTCTCTTCAACCATAGAGTAACATTTGCGACAAACATTGCAACAAAACCAAACTCTGGCTATTCACATTTTCTACCTCCTCTCATAAAACACATGTTGCTTCTTCAACTGCAACCGCCACATTTCAGAATCAGTATTCATTGTCTTATTGAACACAGGGATTAAGCCTGTACTTAATTTTCATAATAGGCCTTAATTTGGATGGCACTTAAATCTAAGGTGACTTCACAGATTGGAAAAAGATTTAGCCTCTAAACTTCAAATGCACACTTTGGAGTAAAAAAGACTGAAAACTACTGCATTATTTAGAAACCACATGAATCTAAGCGTTGCAACAGAAATGTTGGGAAGAATTTTCTTAATCACAATGAGCTCTTTTTAAAAATAATGCAATCCAGAGGTTATGCTACTTCAAAGGATTATCATTTTCTCCTGAGACTAGCACAACTGTTTTTCTTCTGGAAAATTTACCAGGTATGCTGTAATCCTGATTACAGAGAATGGAGATATATTTATAGACCAGGCATTTTAAAGAACTAGATGGAAACTAAATCCATCAGGTTAGGGCAGAACAGCGTTATAGTGATCCATGCTCTAAAATAATGCAATCAACGCTCAAAAATGATGTAATAAAAGTAAGAAGATGGACAGAGCTTCTACAGCAAATGGATTCAGTTAGGCTGAACTGCACCACTAATAGTTTTATAGCTAAAATTGTTAAAGCACTAACACAAAGTGGTAATAAAAGTTCATTCTTGGGTTTTAAACAGCAACAATAATTTCAAATAAGGATGCTAAAATCTAATTGCTATGGTTTGCCAAAGGTTCTTTTGCTTATTGCTGATCCTTGGGAAAGACCTAAAGATTTTCAAAGCATTGCTTAGCCTTAAAACCAACTTTATGATTACATTATAATATGAAACAGAAGACATTTGGGATCATATTTATGTTACAAATATAGCATTTACAGTATATAATTCTCTGTAACAAATGGAGGGAATGGCAAACATTACTATCCTATGACATACAAAATATTTTTATGCTTGGAAGGAATTTACATAAAGGTTTGATTCACATCATCTTTTTTTATTAATCCCAGACTCATAAAACATCTTTCCTCAGTATAAAATTCTTGTTTAAAATATGAAAACCACTATGTAGCCTCTTGAGTGGCATTCTGCTAGTCTTATTAAAAGTCAACTACTCTGATCCAGCTAAAGCCATGTAGCTCCCAATGCAGCCTTCCACAGAAATATCTAGCCGCATGCAAAGCTTCATATATAGGTAGCTTCTAAGGATGAAGTTCTCCAATTTCAAAAATGGAAGAACAGAATAAAACCAAATATTCAATACCAGCTGGGTGGTAGAAGCAGAGATTGGCAAGACTGATTACCACGTGAGTGATGGAATGGGAAGCAAGGGCAACACTGAGTTCTGTCAGTTCACCAGCCAGATGACTGACTGTACTGTAATGAGTTCTTTGGACCAGAAGGAGGATCAGAGCCAATAGATTTAAGCAGTCATACTGAATACAGGAGTTTAGCCTACTGCAAGTATTGGCTCATAAAGCAGTTTTAAGGGAGATTATCTATTCAGTTTCAAATAATAATACAACCTGTTTTTTGTCAAGAAAGATGACTTCTTTAAGTATGCAGTAGTAAAAAGAAAGAGTTTCAAATCTGACAACATTTCCTAAAATGAAGGTCACTGTTATCTTCCTACAATTTATTGTAAATAATTTTTTTAAAAAAAACCTCTCAAATGCAGTGTGTGCCTCACAATGTTAGGCTTTTAGACACTGCCTTGCTTTACATATTGATTTGTTCACAGAAAGCATCCTCCAGTTTATACTAGTTTTACTTTATGCCACATATTTTGGTTTATGCAGAGAATGTGTATGAAACCTTCACTGAGTATCTGGAGTGATCAACAGCATTCAGCGTCATTGGCTGAAATCCACCAGTAAGTCACAACTAGAGTAGGCCCATTGAATCTGGGGACTTGGTAAGTCAACGCCTCCATATGATTCAATGGGGCCTTCTCTAGATGTGTTTTACTACTGGATTTCAGCCACCCTAACCCTTGTTGAACACAAGGGCTTCAATACTCTGAATATTTTTCATACTGCAGCATCTAACCATATAATTAAAGAAATGAGTATCACTCATGGGTTAAAAAAATGTTCCTTATCCTCATAGCATGATTACATAGAATGAGAAAGAATGGTAAAACTTATATGTGTTTCTTTGAAAACAGATAACTCAGTAAATGTCATTAATAAAATAATGACAGGTATGAGTTGCTCCCACATTCCTATGGATTTCTCAAGTACATGTACAGAAATTACTTTAGTAGAATCCAGCCCAATTATAATTCCATATCTGTTGTTCAACCAAGATGCTCAATGGTGTTTGAACTGATCAATTATGGATCTCCATAGCTACTTTAAATTACTGTTACAACACACAAGAGAATATGAATGCTCCCCAATCTAACAAGCATTCTTTCCACCTTTCATAGGGGAGAAAAGACTTCCGCAAAACTGGAGGACAAGTTATGGCACAACACTAATTTCACCTCTTTCCCCACAGCTGGATACAATGCTATCCATAATCATATTCATTACAGAGCTTACAGGGAAGAAATTATAAGCACCTGCATTATGGACATATCCACAGTAATGCCTGAAAGATTTACCACATGGAAGGAAGGCCCGGGGAATATACTGAACTCTAAGGAATTATAATTATTTTTCTGCTAAAATTTCTCATAAGACTCCCCCTCCCCACAATTATCCTGATATTATAGAATCATAAAACAATGGAGTTGGACTAGGCCAAGAAATGTGAAGCTTCTTTGCAGAATGTCAACTTCCCAAACATTTTCCTTTTTGGGTTGGGGGGAATGGTTGTCTCCCTACTATTGCCACCACAAATCCCTAGAATGACACTACATTCCCAACACTGTTGTTGTTGTTGCCACCCGCAATGGGACAAAACAAGAATCCTTGGGAGCAAAACAAAACAAAAGCAGAAAAATGTGCTGCTTATATACCATTCATAGTGCTTAAAGCACTGTCTAGGAGGTTTACAATTTAATTATGCTAGCTACAGATTTCCCCCTTCCCCTTGGAAGCTGCATGCTTAATTTAATGACCTCAGAAGCACAGAAGGCTGAATCAACCTTGAGCCAGCTATCTGCATCCAGGATCAAACTCAGGTCCTGAACAGGTCTTTGAAAACAGATAACTCAGTAAATGTCTGATTTACTGCAGTGCTATATCACAAGTCTCCTCATGGAGTAAAAATGTGCTACAATAACCACTGAAAATAGTGAACTCTGTGCTGTCCTCTGAAGATGCCGGCCACAGAGACTGGCAAAACATTAGGAAGAACAACCTTCAGAACACGGCCAAAGAGCCCGAAAAACCCACAACAATCATTAGATCCCAGCTGTGAAAGCCTTCATGAATACATTGTTAGAAAATTCTTCTGGAGAAATGTGGTGAAATTGTCCCCTCAATTTCTTTTTTAACAAACTAAGGGGGGGGGGGGAATTCTGCTTGACCATAATTATACTGCTGTAGTTTGTAACACCCTAATAAAGCTACAACTTCTTACAGGGGATATACAACTGTTTACTACTTGTCTGGTTATTTTATGTTACTTCAATTTCATTGGTAGCAACATACTGTATGTACAAAAATACTGATTTCATTACTTAAAAAAAATACTGGTGTACAGTTTGCTCTCAGAACGTCCACTATGGAGTTATGGAATGCCGGCAATGCCAGCAAGGAATACAGCTATTTGTCTATTAATTTAAGACAAACTCCTTGTTTTCTCTTTGTTTCATTCTGCAGGATGTCTTTACTGTTTGTTTGGCAGTGTAGACATGCTGTGTTAGCACAACCGGCAAATGGCAATCTTGCCAAGTTATGGACATAGTAAGCATCATTTCTACATTAAAGTCTGAATACTTAAAACATCCACTATCATCTATTTACATACAAATGGTTGTTAGTAGAAGAGGTACCAGTTGCTCTGAAGTGCTTGGTACCTGTTTCCTTGTAACTCAGTGGCTGAAATCCAGTACTGATTCACAACTCTGACCTACGCCTAGATTTCAGCCAGTGTTTACTTTTTAAAATGAGAAAAATCAGGACCTTCATGGAGGAGATCAGATCATTCTTCCTATATAGAGAAAGCAATGCCCTAGT